AAGCTGTAGTGCCTCTTCACCTCACTGTGCAATACCTTTTGTGCAATACTTTTGTAAATAGTCAACAGTGCAATTGACCTCAATACTTGAAATGTGCAATTCACTTGTATTTTTATTTTTTATTCCTATTTATCCCCTTCGTATATTTTATTTATATTGTCTCTGTATTTATGTAACTCTGTAACTTCTGTTGGTGCTGTGCTTTTTTGGAAATCGAATTTCCCAGAGGAACCCACCCGAGGGATTAATAAAGTTCTATCTAATCTAATCTAATCTAAAAAGACAACAGGCCGAGCTGGAAGTTGCAGAATCTAAGTTGCTACGATTTTCATTGGTGGTGACCAGGATGGAGGAGATTAGAGATTATTGTATCTGATGACAGCTTGGGCTGAGCAGTTTAGATGATAAAATTAGAGAGGAGCTAGAAGAAGTTAAAGTTAGAAGATTGCAGAAAAGATTCATGGATGTAGTGTAGGAGCACATGCAGAGGGCTGGTATGACATATGAGTACATTTGGTGAAATGAGCTTAAGAAAAGAGATCTGACGGACTCTAAAAGGCAAGAAAATTAAAAAAGACTTTCAGGCGGATGCAGCACTCTTGAAATTACTAAGATATTAGGGCATGATCATCAGGTGTTTTGTTCCAAGAAGTCAACAGGATCACAAGAAAAAAGATGCAAAATAGCTGCTGAAGATTTGAGAAGACTCAAACGTGACGCTCCCAGGAACCCATTATCCTTCAACGTTGTCTTACCCTGAGTTCCCAGAAGTGCAAGCGCTCAGAGACATGTCCGAGGTAAAGAATACTGAAATGCAAACACCACGGATGTGTCATGACTAGGCCAACAAATATCTGAAGACATATTTTCTTTTGTAGCAACTTTATTTTCTTTCTCTGAAACCAGTTGAGTTTCCTTGGCTGTGTGCTTGGGATCATTGTCTTGCTGAAAAGTCCACTCTTGTTTCATCTTCACCATCTGGGTAGATGGCAGAATTTTTTTTTTTTTTTTTTTTAATCAAGAATGTCGTGATACATTTTTCCAGTCATCCTTCCCTCCTTTATATGAAGCGTGCCAGTGTTATATAATGAAAAACAGCACGATCCCACCTTCAAACTGACCTGTTGGTCTGGTGTTATTCAGGTCATATGCAGTACCTTTTCACCTCCAAATATAGTGTGTATGAGGACATCAAAAGAGTTCAGTTTTGGTCTCATCCGGCCAGTAGAGCGTGCATAGAGGCCATGTTGGTTGAGTGCATTGTGTGTTTTCTTTGAAACAATTGTACCTGTTGATTCCAGGTCTTTCTGTAGCTCTCTACAAGTGGTCCTTGGATTGTCCATCATTTGGGACTGAACCAACTGAAATCAGTTTACACTAAATGCCAGACTTCTTTCTAATTACTGATATATCTTAAGTGGTGCAATGACTTTCTATGTCTTTTTTGCACCTGTTTATAGCTTCGATACAGTTTACCTGACATTTCTCATTATTACGCATAACTCAATTTATGGACATCTATGGTCTGACCTTTTTGCATTTGTGGATTTGATGGGTTTTTACCCACATCTGGTAAGAATTTGATGTCAATGGCACTTTTAGAAATATATTTACTTAGAAAATTGGTGACATGTTCAATTCTTGTTTTACCCAGTGTAAGTCCTACACTACGACAACCGACTGAAACCAACAAAATGACCATTACGTGGTCTATGTTGTGGATACATCTTCTTGTAAGTGGCACAAAAACGTTTTTTGATAGGTATGATAATCGTACTGTTAAAGTATGGGGGGAAAAAAAATCCATAAAAAGACAAAAATTAATTTAATTTAATTTGAATTTTATATTGTGAATCATCTCTATAGATATTTCAGATTTAGGTATTGTAAGATCCTGTAAGGTCTTGCTCTCCCAAAGTAGGTAAGGCCAGGATTAAGGTTAGGGTTAGCGCACATGACGTCGGCAGGTTAAATACTCAGCTTGACTTTAATAACATTTTATATTGACCAAGAGCACTGTGATTGTTTAATAACAAAATTAGTCCAAGTCCTTAATAACTTCCCTAAAAAGTGTTCAGACTGTAGTTGATAAATTAGTTTCTATTGTTGCTAGGCAACTGGTTTGTTTACATCTGATTTCAGATTGCGCATTTTTTGATGTTGGGTGACTTCTGCTCTTCTGTTAAACACAACTAACACTTTGCAGGGCATCTTTGGGGGAAAATCAGCTCTCATGGAAGCAACTTGTGGCCAAGATGCTCCAGGTAAGCGGTAACTTTGCTGTAGCACAGTGTTTGTTGTATTCTGTGTAGATGACACACTGTTAAGCCTCTCTGTGGAGATCACCAACACAGAGCTTTCAAAATGTTAGTACTGGTGAACACTCATGAAGTCATTCTCACATTTGATTTATTGATTGCAGCACTTTGAATTTGTAGAGATAAAAATAAAGACTAATTTTCACCCCATATTCTTAAACATTTTTACTGAAAAAACAAACAAACAGCCAAACTGGTGTATCTGTACACATACACGTGTGTGTGTGTTTGTTTTAGCTGGGTTTCAGCCAACTGACATAAGTCTTGTTTAGAAGAAATTCTTGAAAAACTTAACTTTAACATTAAGCATTTGTTACTGGATTTTAGTATGAAATAAAAATATGAACCTGGTGATGCATTTTAAAAAAATGACAACAAAAAAACAAAAGTAAACCAAACTTTCTATCATTTATCTGAGGAGATATATTGACCATATTTCTGTACTATTGCTCCACAGCTTCATTGAAAAAATATTTGCTATGTCAAATGCCAAAAGCTTGGGCTGACCTGCCTTCATATCGCGGACCTCCGGCACCTGGCAGTATTGGGGTCTATACAAAGAGGACTGGAAGGGAAAGCCTGCGTTATAGGGGCTACATTTATCCATCTGCTTCAACAGAAATGCCCTTGACAGCATTTCAGCACCCATTCACATGTGGGTATAAGAGAAAATTGTCCAAGTACAAAAAGCTGCTGAAGGAGTTCAAGGATAAAGAAACTGAGGCCGAAGAAGTGACAAAGTTGATCTCAGAGATTCGAAAGAACAGAGAAATGCTTGGCCATGTGACTACGTCGTCTGAATTAAAACACTCGATCCAAGAAGACAACGCAGCCACCAATGGAAGAGAAATCGAATCAGAACCTACAGGTTCATTAATTCAGCATGTGGAGTCTGACAACGTTGATCCACTTCAAGAAATTCTTGATGAAAGCGAGCCCGCATCTCTTGACTTGTTTGACGAATTTGAAATAAGCTACAATGAGTGGCCATTTTAGCATGCTGTAGGAGCCGGAGTGTCTTTGGATTTTCAAATAAAATATTTGAAATCTTGCATAAATAATGTGAGCAGTAGTAAATCTTTTTTTTTTTTTTTAAGTTTTATCTATCTTGGGTGAGCTCTACACACACAGTTACTTTATTTAACTTTAAAGTTTATCTAACCTTATTTTATATGTAGCCATCACTTTGGTGATGGTTAAATTGATGTTTTTGCAAAAATAAAAATAAAATGTTTGGTAAAATACGAGAAATAATACACACATAGAGATAATAGTTTTCAATACATAACACTAAAAACTCTACCAGCCCCTCCGAGGCTGTGAAAATTGAGACAGGCCTACTTTACTTCATTTAAAAATTCACAGAAACTAACTGAAATGCTTGCTTATTTAGGACTTTCAATATCACACACATTATAGTGGATCACCTGCCCGCTTCTCAGCCTCTCTCCTTAGCCATCACACCAACTCCAATGGAGAGAAACTTGGGGTTAGGGTCGCTGAAGGATACTTTGTGTTTCGATCCCGTTCTCAATGTGAAAGCTTCCAGTTAATGGATGGCCTACTCTATCTCCTGAGCTACAGCCACATCGTATATAGTAATGCACTTTGCAATTTGATGAATGTAGTATCGCAGTTTGACCAGTACGCCAACATTCCTGCAAAATCCAGCATAGTTATAGGGGGCGTACTAATAACAGGTCTTGGGTTCGAATACATCATCTGTCTGGGGGCCTTTCTGTGTGGAGTTTTCCAGGTCTACATCAATAATTAGTGAACAGGTATGCTCAATGACACAAACAGAGCCATGATGACAGTGTGTGGAGTAGCCCCTTTCATGATAATATAAGGCAAACAAGTTTGACCCATATCGAAATTTTGTTTGTAAGGATGCAGAAGAGATTTGAGAAGCTGCTGGGCGACGCCCAAAGTAAACGACATCAGTGTGTTCTGTCTTCCTCCCCTCATCCCCAAGTGATAGCGGCAGATGGTTGCCCCTCCCTGAGCCTGGGTCTGCCAAAGTTTTTTCCTGTTAAAAGGGAGTTTTCTCTTCCCACTCTTGCAAATGCTTGCTCACAGTGGGCCATTTGATGGTTGGGGTTTTTGGCTGTGTTACTGTGGGGTCTTTGTTGGTATTTGGCACTATATAAGAAAAATTAAAATGATGATCAGAGATCAAATATGACTAAGTCAAACTTAGCACTACTGCTGAAGAAAATTAATGCTAATCATCCATCCATCCATCCATCCATCTTCATCCGCTTTGTCCGGGTCGGGTCGCGGGGGCAGCAGCCTAAGCAAAGAGGCCCAGACCTCCCTCTCCCCAGCCACCTCCTCCAGCTTGTCCGGGGGAATACCAAGGCGTTCCCAGGCCAGCCGAGAGATATAATCTCTCCAGCGTGTCCTGGGTCTGCCCCGGGGCCTCCTCCCGGTGGGACATGCCTGGAACACCTCGCCCAGGAGGCGCCCAGGGGGCATCCTTGTCCAGATGCCCGAACCACCTCAGCTGGCTCCTTTCGATGTGGAGCAGCAGCGTGCTCTACTCTGAGCCCCTCCCGGATGGCCGAACTTCTCACCCTATCTCTAAGGGAGAGGCCAGCCACCCTTCGGAGGAAGCTCATTTCTCGCCGCTTGTATCCGCGATCTCGTTCTTTCGGTCACTACCCACAGCTCGTGGCCATAGGTGAGGGTAGGGACGTAGATCGACCGGTAAATTGAGAGCTTGCTTTTACACTCAGCTCCCTCTTCACCACGACGGACCGGTGCAGCGTCCGCATTACTGCAGCTGCAGCCCCAATCCGTCTGTCGATCTCCGGCTCCCTTCTCCCATCACTCGCGAACAAGACCCCGAGATACTTGAACTCCTCCACTTGGGGCAGGAATGCTAATGCTAATCATGAAACAAGAATACACAAATTAGTTAAAAAAGTCCAGTGTTTCTTTGCTGCTTCTTTGCCTTTAAAGGATTGTTTCTCTATCAGTTTCCTGTATTCGTATATTTTCTTCGAATAATGTTTACTTGACACAAAATTCTAAGGCATGCCTGGATACCATTTGGCATCCCTGATGTAGAATTTGAGAAGGAAGAAGGATGTGTGGACTAATCTGTTTCTGCTGAATCAGTTTAGATCCTTTATTTTACCTATTTACTTAAGATTTTTGTTCTGTTGCACCTTATCGCTAGATAAACGTTCCCCCTGAGAGGATTTGCTCTTTAGTACCATCTTCTGACATGACTTGGGATAACATGTTTGCAAATCTGTCTCTGTTCCATGAGGTCATCAAAAAGAGTCTGTCATTGTTTGGGGAAAAGCATCTCCTGCTCTCTGCTGTAATTGCCATTGTTTGACTTAAGATGGTCTTTAAAGGCATTGTCGTTTTGTAATTCTGGTTTCTTCCTGGTAATGAACAAACAAGTATTTGAGCCAAACTAGCCAAGTTATTTTGCACTGGTATTGTGTATTTTTTTTCTTTTTGTTCATTGTCAAAGGAGCTTTCAAAGAAAAGCGTCTGGACTTCTTTAAGTTGCTTGAAGACGTTTCACCTCTCATCCGAGAAGCTTCTTCAGTTCTAAGGTCAAATGGCAGAGAGTCCCAGATTTAGTCCCAGATTCCCAGAATCAACACTCGACTTTTTAAACTAATTTGTGTATTCTTGTTTCATGATTAGCATTCATTTTTGTTCATTGCTTCTAAAGGCATTTTATGTTATTTTCTCAGCAGCCTAAGTAAAGTCCGTGAAGTTGACCCCTCTTGTCTGCGTGGTCATTTTAAAGAGGAGTTCAGATTGAATGTCGATTCTAGCAAGACGCTGAAGGTGGACGACGTTACAATTTTTTATATTAAAAAGGCACTCATTGTTTTAGACATTTCCCCAGTGAGAGCTTCAATCTTATTTTTATTTATTTTTCATTTGATGGAGGGAGTCTTGCGGTCTCTGGCTGCCATGGTCACTGTGTTGCTTCTTCAAGCTGGATCAGGCAGTGAAAAATGTGTCTGTTCCCGTTCCAAGGTGAAGGATAATAACTTACTAAGTGGAAAACTGGATTAGAGGCGTTCACATTTGCTTAGTCATGCCGCCCTCCCTGAACACGTGCACACACACACAAACAATTATCTTGTGCTCCTTACAAAGTCAGCCCCATGACCCCGCTGCAAACAGACAGACACACTTTTTTCCAACCAACATGCACGCACACTGAATCAATCTGCCTGCAGTCCGCATGATTTATTCCACTCTAATTGCCTAACTCCAGTATTAATAAGTTTCCTTACTTGTGCTACAGCCTTTGAAGGGTAATTGTGTAATTCCTTGTCAATTTTTTTTTCTGCAAAGATTTTTTTTTTAAATAAATTACTTTATAATCCAACAGAAAAACACAAATGTCATTTGACAAGAAGAGATTAGGCCTCTGACTCTTGACATGTTTCCCCAGCTGTCAAAGAATCTGACAATAAATACATTTAAATCTATGCAAGCCAGCACTGTTATGTAAAGTCTTGGCAGTCGATTGGTATGAGTGGCTGCGTACTGTTTCGATGCCCTGCAGAGTTCTGCTAATGAGGTGCATTGACATCAGAGTGCAGAATTACCACTTGCGAATTTATTTGGTGCTTGTTTACCCCATAACAAACAAATCCTGTTCATCCACTCACTGCTCATAAAACTGAATTTTAAAAAGGTTTTAAACTTTAGTACAGATCTACAAGATTCCATTTGACAAGCCTGAATTATGGTGACAAAATCATACACAAGATGTTTTTCCATTTGATGAAATGTATATTTAAAACAAACAGAAGACGACTGAATCTTGGGTTGAAATCTAAGAAGTTTGTTCATCTTTGTGCTAATATTTGATGGAGAAAGTGAGTGAAGTGCAAAAACATTAAGTATTTATCAAAGAAGGCATGTTTAACTCTTTTAATGGAGATAAACAAAGGCTTGCTTGAAGATTTCTCTCGATGTAGTAGTCATATTTATTGAAACGATGGGACATCCTGAAACAACATTACACTATCCTGGGTCTGACTATTTATTTATTTTTTTTAACTAAATTGAGTTTGTTGCTTTGTGTTTAAGTTTAGTTTGTTGATCTTCATGTTATCTTGAGTATTTCTGAGTCTTTAGTTTGTGTTACTTAATTTGTTGCATCAGTATTTTCTGTCTTATCCTCTTGTGTGAGCTATCCTATGTTGAGGTCATCAGTGTTTCTGCCTTTCCCCATTTTTTTTGATTACTGTCACCTGAGTCTTGTTACCCTGATGTGTTCACTTCTCCCAAATGCCCTCACATGTATGAATAGTGTTATCTTCTTTTCAGTGTCTGATAACCTACCCTCATGTGTTTTGCCAATGTGAATGTTTCTGATTTAAAATAAATGAAAAGCATTGGGAGATTCAGCTTGCTAAGATAGGACAAAAACTAGGACCCATGTGAAAAATCAGTTATTCACACAAACACTAGAGGTGTAGCATAATGATGGTGTTAGCCTGCAATCAACGTGAAAACCAAAGTGGCAAAAAACTGCAGTTTCTTTAGGAGCCACTTGCAGCAAGCTCCTAAAGAATGTAAAGAAAATCAGTCCCATTGGTCCATTTTAACATAGCAGACATCTATAGCATTAAGTAGCATATTTAAAGCAGAAATAAATAGTTTCTTAATAGGTCAATCTGCTAGGACCTATTTACTATTTCCAGATATTAAACTGGACTCATCCATTGTGTCTGTGTTGGAGTCTCTTCAAGCATTTAGAAAACAATAACTCGCAAATATTACGTCCTGCTGTGTGATGCAGACATTTTCGGTGAGTGAAATTTGTATTGTTTTGTCAGTCTGTTAAGCTGCGTACAAACTGGAAGCAACTCGCTCATCCCACATGACTTTGAATCCAGGTTCTGGTTGCCTTGGTAACCTTCAATTAATGGTGAAAAAACAAACAAACAAACACACAAGGCAAGAAACCCCCCTGAGATTACAAATACATAATAAAAATAGACAAAAAATGAAAAACATGGTGTAACACACCAGTGTATATAATAAGGATAAGCACAGTGCATTT